CCCCCCCCTCGCCCCTGCAAGTCCTTTTTTAAACTTTAGACGCACTTGTGATATAAAATAGTGTGTGTAACACGTGCGGGTTGAGAATTGGACACGCGTGCGGAGTGGACGCACTCGCCTTCGGCTCGTGCGTCACTCCGCACTTATGTCCAATTCTCAACTTCCCGCACTTGTTACACAAATAACTATTAAGAAACTATTATAGAAACGTTTTTTTAATGACAAAATAAAATTCCTATTTTTCACGTCTTTTGAATGTGTTTATGTCTTTGAGACATGCGTGAGAATGTTTGTAGAAGCTTTATGCATATACCATATAATTTTGAACGCAAAAAAACTTCTCCAACACGTCGCATATCGTATATAAAAAAAAAAGATTAGTAATACCATAATATTTTCGGGTTGTAGTTACTTTTGTGAAATAGTTGAATCACCTTTATAATTATTTGATTAAACCTAACTTTCATTTGCTTTCCCAGGTAGCAAGCACTCGTCATTTTGACGTCAATTGACGTCACAAGACGTCAAAATGACAGACTTTTGACGTCAATTGACGTCAAAATGACGAGTGCTTGCTACCTGGGTTTATACTACAACCCGAAATGTTGTACAATATATCAAATACAGAGTATATTTTAATTCTGGTAGTTTAAAGAGCATTGTACATTGTACAAATAACTATGTTTGAGTTCCGTTAACCTTTTACTGTTGACTAGATTTTACAGTACAAATAACTACGTCACATTATTGAACTAATTCGACTTTTAATCAATTTGACTCGATACCCAGTTTGTACAACCAAATTCTCGCAACCCTGACACTTAGTTCTCGTTACCCAATTTTTTTTCAGATACTAAAAATACGTATTAAAATAGCGCCTTTTTTGTAACTTTAACCGCAAATTTCTCAAAATTGTGACGTGATAGAGCAATTTGATGAATAGAATTATATTTATAAGCGTCCAAGAAAACCACGGAAAACAATTATACTCTCGTTCTTGTGTTCGAAAAAAAATCATTTTTTAATTGAACAATTATATATCTGACTCATTTTGAGAGTAGAAAGTGTAACATAGCTACAAACAGAACTTTTGCTTATGTTTCTCCCATCATTTATAGTTTCTTATGTTTATTTTTACCAAATGTAGATTAACTTTAAACCCTGCGTATGATAGAGCACATATTCGGAATAAGAATAAATATTAATAAATATTAGGGATCGGAATTAGAAATAGTAATTAAACGTAACGCACAATGGAAAAGAATAAAATATAAGAATAAATATAGGAATTTTCTTACATTGCATTTACATATCCTAATATTTAATATTTCTTACAAAGAATATTCCTATATATTTATAGATTCCAATATTTAATATTTATGCTTTATTCTTAATATGCGTTTTATTGTGCGCAGATGGCCTTAATCTCGGTTTATCTTAATTAAATTAAGACCAAAGCACAAACTTTTGCATAACGCATAATGCATATTAGACTAGAAATGTACATACAATCACCTGTTACCATCTGTAACTTATTTTGCTTCAGTACTTCTTACTCCAGCTGCGATAACCGACGAGATGGCGTTGTTGCACAGTGAGTTTTTGTTCCAACAATCCAACTACCATAAATTTGTCAACTCAAGGTGAACTCGCCACGTGTGATCGGTGTGATCTCTTTTGTTAGGCACATGTAACGGATATTATTTAAATAAATGTGCAATATAATCTGAAAGAACAGATTGAAGGCATTCCAAACCATCCGGCGAGATTCAGCAAAAAGAAAAGTAACGGACGTCATGACACACGGCAAGAAGCAATAATTGAACCGAAAATAGTAAGAGAAAATTATATCTTTATAACTGAAAATGTAATACACTTTTGTAATATAGTCTTTTTACTAACTGGTAAATATAATGAACTTTTCTGTACCTTTCTGATTTGTTTGTACTGTACGTATTTCTAGGATAGCACAGAGAGAGAGAGACCTTTTCGCAAATGAAAGGATACCACGTACATGCATCTTGTACTGTGTATTAAGAATTGAAACGGTTCAACAGTTTAAATCGATCGTGAAGGAAACCCAAAAATAAGATGGATCTACACAATCGTTATTCACATTTCTCTACAGTGAACATCTCACTTTTACAAACTATAGACAGCAAGTACAAGCTTGACGTACATCATTTGATACAGTGTTACAATCAAGAGATAACTACAGAAGAGTTAAATATGGATAAACTCGAGCTCTGCCGACTGTTGTTGTGTTATGAATATCAATCTGCATTTCACGATGTCCAGAGTGGCGAACGTAAGAAGTATGTGATACCTGCTGACGCGGAGAAACTTTCCTTTCCTAATATAAAAATGATCTTTCCACCAAATTACTCGCGAAACGCCTCACAAATTTCGCTCTTGTGCGACATAATCATTTTGCAAATGATACTTTATCATAATGCTAGCTCGATCAAACAGCATCTGCAGTATTTCTTCTGCTTAAGCAAAGCTTACATCGCAACCAGCGAGTCTAGAATTATGTATATGAAGATATTAGAATACCTTTTAGAATTTTTACGCTTATATGAACTTCACGCCACTAGCGAAGAGATCAAAGCATTGAAAAACCTTAGTTGCATGTATTTAGACATTATAAAGTCGTGGGTAAAGGTAAAGAAAGACAATGAATGGAGATTGTTTGCTTTAATGTTTCCTAAGTTAGTAGAGATTTTTACTCCGACATATATCGTTTATCCTCTATGGGACCATTTTTTGCACGAAGCGAGTGATTTAAAAGAGTCTCTCACTGTCTTGAGTATCATGGCAGACACTTGTCTCACATCGTCACATTCAATGAATATATTACACCGTGATATTTATTGTAAGAGCACGTTCTGGTTGTTCGTATTAAAGGGATTGCGATCACCCGTGCAACAATATCACAAACAGGCCTTATACATAATGAAGAAAGCAATTGATTCTCTGAATGAAGAGGTTGTATTAAAATTGGCACGACCGAATTTGACAAAGGCACAAATCACACCGTTTATTTGTTATCGATCTGGTACGTTTTCATCGATGGATCACATTAAGAAGAGATTTTTCCTGGTGTATGAAGCGGTAGAAGAGAAGCAAGAACACTTAGTAACACCAGCTTTAACTCATATAGCTGATCTAATAAAAGTAAACGAAGAACACAGAGCCTGCGATTGCTTTAACATTGAATGGCTGCAGTGCATTTTCGAGAAAGTTTTACTGCATGAAAATAATCGTATTGCAAAGTGGGGTGTATCGCACGTTTGTAAACTGGATGATACCATATTTAACGATCAGTTTCTCGAATTGTTTGTAAATGTTCTGAATAATAACTTTCTTTACGAATGTCAGCCTGATGAGGAATGTCCGGACATCGTGAAGGAACTCTCGCACTTCCTCAAATGCGCAGAGAAAAGTGATTTGCTAAACAGATTTCTCAAGAAGGTCAGCTGTGTAGCCTGGGGTCCTGTGGCAATATTTTATATCATACATGCGTTACGAACAATTTCACAAAAAGAGATACAACATTCCAATTGGCAGACTACCGAATTGAATGCCATTAAATCTTTAGTGGAAACAAATTTGAGCATGCACTCTCATATTCTACGTACCGCGTCTCAAATTGAACTCTTGAGAGCAATCCCCAATTATGTACGACAGATGAGCGATCTACCGTTGCTCGCCAATGTTTTAGCTACGTTTCCCCCTGGAGAAGGTCTCACGAGAGGAACAATTGTTTGGAACATTATTACAGCATGGTTACAGAAATTATTAGCGAAAAAAGACGTGGAAACTTTCGTGAAAGAGACATGCGAAAAATATTCGCAAGTCTCCTTCCTTATTGAAAATGCTAGTCTTGAGAGTCGTAGGATATTTGCATTAATAGTATATTTGTTATATGATGCAAATCTTATATTCTCGTGCAAGTTATGCCCTGCCGCAGCATCATTAAGCAATTGGCTGTGTACCTTGAATGGTATCGTTCTACGACCTTATGCTGATATAATCTCAAGTATATATATAGTAGAATTTATGTCACATTTACTGCATCTTTCCGTGAAGGGACCCCTCGATAAGATGACGGACTTTATAACGTTATATATACGTACCACTTTTAATTTTTTAATTAAATACATGAGGAAGATGTCCACAGAGCTGACTTACGAAGATTATACGAGATATACAGCCATTTTATCCTCACATATCGTCAACGCACCTCTCTTCATACCGAAAAAGGATGCAAACGTTTACATAGAAACATTGCGAAATGAAAGTATGAACTTGATAAACAACTTGCAAAGTTTAAATCTACAATATTTGTACGGATTATACGTTTTGTATGTCTCTCAGAACGCGTTAGCTTTGCCATGTCCAAAAACCTTTTACACGAAGCATTTGTTGACTATGCGGGAGTTAACGAACATTTCTAAGGATATCAATGCAAATTTAAAAGGAAAAATTACATCGGAATATTATTTGCTTTTCTTAAAACTTCATCATCAATATCTCGTGAATTCTCCAGTGTCCTCGTGGATTCCTGTTACCACAATGCTATCTAACTTGCTACAATTTCTCGAGATAGGCCTACTAGAAAACATTTCTGAAATTGCAAAGATACTAACAGTAATAGTTGATAATAAAGTTATAAGCGAAATAATCGATAGGAAAACTCTGGAATGTGCTTTTGATTTGGGCTTTACGTGTATTATAAACAGTAAAAAGAACAATATCTTTTGGACAGCAGTGGAAGACCTCATGGGAATTATTATTAATAATAACTTTTTCCTTTTGCCTAATGCCGTGCTTAATGCCGCGGAATTCGTGAATCAAGTAAGTCGGATGCCGAAAGACGTATATCGATGTTTTTGAAATATCGATCGCTTATGATCTATCTTGTTTCGCAGTATATTGCTGAATTGCTAAATTGCAAAGGGGAGAATACAAGATTCAAAAGAATAATACTTTCTAAAATAAAAAATTTGGACATACACAATTTGATAAAATTAGAAAATCCGTTAGAGAACTGTTTATTTCATGGTTCTCCATATCTGCGTAACAAGAAAATCGAAAATCATGCTCATTTATTTATTGTCAAGCACTTGGGTCAATATTATCCAAAACACATCTTCACGTTGTAAGCATCTGTTTATCAATATTTATTTTGAATAAGTGATTTATAAATATATAAATTTATAGGTAATTTTTGTAAATAATTAATACAATATTGATGTTCTATTAATAGGGATTATAATAATGATGCCGCGATCAGAGCAGAGGCGGTTATACTGTTGCAAAGAATAATTAATTCAGAATTAAATTATGCACCAACACTTGTACAGTTAATACTCGATGCATTGGAAAAGAATAAAACCAAGAGATATTTTAACGATTCGTCCTTACATAAATTAAAACACAGAACAATGCAAATTTTATTGATATTAGAACCAATGTTGGATGAGGTGAGCTAAGTTTTCGTTGTTAGTTAAATTTTATTTTTACTCTGATTAAGAAATTAATAGATGATTGTTTCGTAGGAATTTGTCTCTTTACTACAGGAAAAATTATGTAATTTTATTTTTTCGGAAAGCAATCAGTCTAGCGTGAGAATAATGCAAGAGTGGTTGTTGATACGAATCTTTGCGAAAAATATTCATTTGCATGATACGTTGTGGTCACTGTTTGCAAAGGTAATCCGAATAAATTCTATAATCCTGTAAAAAAGAAAGACTTCTCAAATGTCTACATTTGTATACATATATCAGAGTATACATATATTATTTTCAGAGTTTGAAGCACCGACCAAGGTGTACGATCTCTGTTGCAAGTATTGTCTATCATGTCGCGAAACTTCTTTCAAGTACTTATCAGAAAGTTTTTATTCGTACAGCCCTGCCATATATAGTACAATGTTGCTTAGGACAACAATTTAACGTGCGTGTTTATAATCAGGCAAGTAAAATCTGCAAAACGAGGCTTAAGGCTTTTGGACTCTTTCCGACACCTTGTAAGATTGTGACGTCAGGGGCGAGAAATGACACGCTGAGAATTCGTGCGTGCCATTTCCAAATAAAAATATATTTGCATAAAATAACACTTTAGATCACTTTAGCACACTTCACAAATACTCCAAAGTCTATCCCTTTCCCTTGACAGTTAATAAACAGCCGTAAAATAAATGTAATACGATAAAGGCTTATGCGCAGGCACATGACTATAGCTTTTGTATTACATTAATTTTACGGCTGTTTATTAACTGTCAAGGGAGAGGAATAGACTTAATTACTCTCAGAATATTTTCGAAGTGTGCTGAAATGATCTGAAGTGTTATTTTATGCAAATATACCTTTTTTATTTGGAAATAGCACGTACGAATTTCTCGCTTCTGACGTCACAATCTTACAAAATGTCAGAAAAAACCCAAGAGCCTTAAGGATGTTCTGGAGACACCGTCCCAATTAAAAGTATGCAGGAAATATTAAAAACATTGATAATAATTCTCCACAGAGATCCAAAGACAAAAAAATGTATTTAAATATAATAGTTACGGCAAATCTAACAGAATGTAAAAGACGTAGATTTAGGGTCGGTTATTCCAACTTATTGGTAAATTAACTAATAGTTAAATCATATATATGTCTTTGTCTTTCCTTCAAATTAGACAAAGATAGACATATAATTTAACTATTAGGTAGTTTACCAACAGGTTGAAACAATCGGTCCTTAGTGATTGTTAATAACTGTTACTACTTTTTTTTTTATCTTGAAAAGAAAATTTTGTAAATTGCTCCAAATTTTATTGCCATATTTTTCTTTGTTGATGATCTACTTGTGTGTAAAATATCATATTGGTAGCATTTTTTAATTTTTACATTTTTTTCTGTAACGCCATAAAGTTATGTGTTAAAACTCGGATATTCAAAAATTGATAATTTTTTATCTAAATTGTGAATCGATCTGAAATTTGGCTCCAAATTTTGAAAGAGAATACAGAATATGATATTAAATTTTCATCAACTTTGTAGCACTTTGACAAACCTTCCAGAACATCCTCAAGATGTAATGTAAATATATATACGGGGTATTCGAAAAGTGGAATAATGGGGGGTCCCACACTTTTCAAATACTTCGTATGTATATTTTCACTCATCTTAATTTTTTTCTGTCTATAGTTTATTTTGACACAATTGTACGAATTAATAAAAGCAACGTATGGTGATCATAATTTACCCGACTATAAAGGTATATATCAAGCTGCTGTGATTGGTTTACAACAGGAAAGTTTGACAAAAAATTCATTTAGAATACAGGATGATTTTTATTTTTCCAAGTTTCATCCAATCAACGATTACAGCTTACAGGTACACACTACACGTTTGCCCTCGAGAAAGAATTGAATTTGACGTACTTACTAATACATCATTTTGTGACGTTTATAGACAATTTACTATGAATTACCACGTTTGACTAACGTAAGTTGTGACGAATGGATTAGTCCGGATGTGTTTAAAGACTTGATGTTTGAGCAAAGTGATGCTCATCCTCTACAGCTTTATAATGCGAATTCATTTCTGACCGAGACCGAATCTTCCGTATATCTGACAAAATCTTTCGCAGGTAAACTAAAATGGCAATAAATATTGTGTAGGATATTAAATAGTTACGTTGCAGGTGATGCACACGCCGAATTATTAGAAAATAATGGTGAAACCTATATGGATTTAAATAATATCCAGAAAAAGATTGAGCCGTCAAAGCCTACAGATTTACGTGGTGATATTTTCGAAATGACGAGCGAATTCATATCTCTGCAAGATGCACAGCTGCAAGAAGGTCTAATAGTTGTAGCATCTTTTGTTGATCGACCACCGAATTTAGGTGGAATTGCCAGGACATGCGAGATATTTGGAGTTAAGACACTAGTCATCGCAAATGCAGATTGCGTAAAGGACAGAGAGTTTCAGTTTCTCAGTGTATCTGCTGATAAATGGTTAAATATGTTACAGGTATGTAAACAATTATTTCTCGAATCTATATTTTAACAAATTGTAAATAGCAACTTTCCGCAGCTTGGTATAAGCAATCTTCATTTCTGTAAGTCGGCACAGTCTTTATCTTTCAAAAACGCATTAAGAATGATTTGGAAATATTTAAAATATTTTTTGGAAAGTCTTTGTTTATCAAGTTTATCAACTGTGAGTAGATTTCCAAAGAAATACTGCAATACTTTAAAATCTTTAGGTGAAGCCGCACGAGTTGCAGAAATTCTTGTTGGATAGAAAGAATGCAGGATGGTCTTTAATTGGGGTTGAACAGACGGTCAATAGTATAAATCTGATGACGACACAATTCGAGAAAAAAACAATTCTTATTTTAGGGTAATTATAAATTACGACTCATGACGCGTTACTTCGAGACCAGTATAATTGATAATGAGAATCTCTATTTTATAGAAATGAGAAGGATGGTATACCAGCAAATTTCATTCCTCTCTTTGACAAATGCATAGAAATTCCTCAAGTGGGTGTAACACGATCGTTGAATGTCCACGTTACCGCTGCAATTTGCATATGGCAATACGCAAGTCAACACGTGTTAAAATAATAAAATTTTCCACGTTTTTAAGATAAGATGGCGATATTAAATAAATGTATTTCTGCCGAGATAAACGATTCGCTATATTGTAACACTTCTTGAAAAGAAAAATATACGATCTATATTTTTATATATTTACGAGCAGGTCTATAATTTATACAAGATTATCTATGTAAAATTATACATATGTAGCGTACTTATACATTATATCCAACAATGTGCCGCTTTCCGATACATTCTCCAACGAAGAACCAGCAATATATTTCGGCAGCTACTAAGGTGTTTATGATACCCTCGCGCACGGTGACGTCGCGATAACGACCAGTCCGTGCAGCATGGATCAATCTTGAAAATCCACTACGAATCGCAGGGATGTCCTTCAGAGTGGGTGGCATCAGTTCTACTTTGGCATACTGACCCCATGCTTGCAGCACAGGCTTCGCTTGATTGATCCCAACTGTAATTCATATGTATTATTCAATTTTATTTAAATACAAATCTTGTGTATATACAAGGGATATTTCTCAGAGTTCTGGGAATCATGCCACGAGGCAGACATCTAGCGTTAATGCTGTGATGTATAAACAAGTGGTTTTGCGCTGAGAGAAGTGTTCATTTAAATGGAAACATTAGGTTTGTTTTTTACATTGCTACATGAACTGCACTAAATCCTTCTTGCTTTCGCCAAATTTCAAATCTTATGTATAGGGTATAACATATATACCCTATTTCACTTCCAAGTACAGAGAATGTACAGTCGTTCAGTTATAAAAAATAATCTTATATTAAAAAACTACAATATAATGTTGTGAAAATTAATAAAATACAAAATTTAGAGCACAAATCTCACAACATTAGAATTCTTCATATGTACATAATAAGACTCGAGATATAACAAAAGTATATAATTCTATTTACAGCAAAGTCTAAAAACATTAATAACAAAATAAAGACTCAGAGTATTACATTACACATAATATACATTAATATCAGACTAAAGACGTTATATAGTTACAAAAATTCTAGATTTATTTCTTTAGTCATCACATTACGAGGCATGTCATATTTTACATCAAAGAATGCTTTTATTATGAACAAATTTTAAGTAAATTGGGAATATATTTATTACTAAAAATATACTGCTTTCAAAGGAATTTAAATTGATCTACAAAAATTAGTATGGCTTGTCCATTCCTGTGTTCTGTCATGAAAAATACAACCTCGACAGAGCACAAAATTTAATCAGCAGAAAGCCATTTTAGCGATTCACCGACACATCTGACACAAAAGTGAATACAAAACTTTTGTAATGACAGGTTCACAAATAATTATTTCACGAAAATCTGATGGGGAGTAAGAGTTACATAATACACGCACGAGTTGCAGCGAGGTTAATTCTCGCCTGAAATAATCGTATATAACGACAAACGTGCCACGATAAGATTTTTAAAACGTCATCCGTACGTTTTACCAATTCGGTGGATTTTGCGACGAGCCGTGCCATCGTCTGCCTGTTTAATTTTTTAGAAAGGAGAAGAAGCATGCAAACACTCCGTCAATTGCTTGACAGCGACACAGCGACAGGCAGCGACAAACTTTCCTTTTCTGTCTAGTGACAAAAGTCTAGTAACAAAAAACTCGATATAGGGATTGGTCGAACTTATGCGCGATCGACTTCTTAAAAAAGAGACAAGAAACTCGTGCGTCGATTAATCGATTTTTGCCTATTCCTAGGAGAAAGCGAGCAAAAGCGAAGGGCAACCGCAAGCGCAAGCTGAAGAAACGGAGCAAACGGAGTAAACGTAGCCAAAACACTAAAAGCGTCTCAAGGTTATTCGACGATACTCTTTATAAATATCATTTGTGAATAACGGTCATTGAATTATCGTGTATACGCTCTATCACGACGAAACGGAGTGCAACAGTTTCGTTTTGTTATCTTTTGTGAAACTCGATGATCTAAAGTGACCGTAGATTTTTGGGGAGCGCCAATATATCGGCGTTTCTTCCGCGCAAATTCGTTTCACTGAAATCTCTTGCATGTTAGCGTACAATGCGTTCGCGCAATCGATACGTAACGTTATATTGCAAGTAGAAACGAATTTTCTGTTCGTGCTAGGTTACGTTGTACCTGTGCGTCGGGTGTCGATTATGATTGTCGCGTTATTTTGTGATATAATTCCAAATTAAACTAAATTAGTTTCTGCACATGTAAATAAAACAGTGTGTTTTTATATTTTGACTTGTGTGTGTATTTATTGTATTGTGTTGTATTTATTGTATGTTCATGCATAATAATTATGTTGCAATGGAGATATGTTTAAAATCGCTTATGTGTTTCTCTAAAGAGTGCGAGCAAAGATGGCACAGAGATTTCCCGTGCCAAACGCAGGAAGCAATGGACCACCGCCTCAGCGATATCCACCAGCGGCGGTACCGCCGAACCTGAGACAGTATTCTGGCCCCAACTTTCCGGTAAACATATATCTTTTGACTCTGATACACAAGGTCTGTTTTCTATTGGTGAACTGGCTACACTAGTTCAGAGTTTATCTTCTTCACTCCATATTGGAAGGAAAGCTAAACTAGCCAGTTCAGCAATAGCAAACAGACCCATAATCAGATAAAATATTGATATAACATGTTGGATATATTGAGATTGACTTTCTGTGATACTTGATAATCATATGCAACGGTTACAATTTATAAATTATGCAAACGCTTGATATAAGTAAGTTGATTTCGGTCACAGATGCAGCAAAGATCTGGATTTACTCCGCCACCGCAAATGGGTAACGCTGGGCCTGGTCCTGGTGGGATAATGAGACCAAGCCAACCGTATTCAAATATGCGTCAGGGCCCAATGCCTACGCCTCCTGTTGGAAAAAGAAGCGCGGACCAACGTATTCCTATGTCCCAGCAAAAACCGTAAGTATCGTGGTCATCAAGAGAAGTTTAAGACAAACACTTTATATTTACTTTGTGTGTAAATTTTGTATCTTTATTAATCAGATTATATTTTAACAATTAGCTACTCTTTATTTTTTTTTATTTATCCTTACTCTTGCATGTTTGTCCTTTTTATTATTTCTATCTATAACTTGATATTTGATCTAAATAGTACTATTCTGTTTATACTTGACACCAAGTTTTATTAGGAACAACCACTGCAACCCAAGGCTTACAGAATTATTTATAATTTCTGTGTCTATGGTTTTCGTATAAACTCATTTAGGTATTTTTGGAACAGTGATTTTTCACATTCCACATCAAAGAAAAAGAAGAAATTGGCAGACAAAATACTGCCTCAGAAAGTGCGCGATTTGGTGCCAGAGTCGCAAGCTTATATGGACTTGCTGGCGTTCGAGAGGAAGTTGGATGCGACTATAATGCGAAAACGTCTCGATATTCAGGAAGCTTTGAAGCGTCCAATGAAACAGAAACGAAAATTGCGTATTTTTATCTCAAATACATTTTATCCGGCTAAGGAGGCAGGCGAAGGAGAGGAAGGATCTGTGGCATCCTGGGAACTTAGAGTCGAAGGGCGTCTTTTAGATGATACAAAAAATGATCCCAATAAGGTATAATATCACAATGGATTATTAAATATAATTATGATATCAATAAATAAATAAATATATATTATGTGTGCATGCATGTGCGTGTAGTCTAATTATTTCATAAATATAAATAAATATATTCAGTGATAACAATAACTGTATGAATTTTACAGGTAAAACGAAAGTTCTCGTCTTTCTTCAAAAGTTTGGTAATAGAATTGGACAAAGATCTGTATGGTCCTGACAATCATTTGGTCGAATGGCATCGTACGTTGACTACTCAAGAAACCGACGGTTTTCAAGTTAAAAGACCGGGTGACAAAAACGTTCGCTGCACAATCCTTCTGCTTCTTGATTATCAGCCATTGCAGGTAATCTTTTTTACATAAATTAATACATAAATTAATTGGTAATCTTTACATAAATTAATCATTTCATCACAATTGGTAAATGCTGTCCACATTGATTTTAAATTTCATTCCTATTAATCTTTATATAATATTTCAGTTTAAATTGGACCCAAGATTAGCGCGGTTATTAGGTGTGCACACGCAGACACGACCCGTCATCATATCCGCGCTCTGGCAATATATAAAGACGCACAAGCTCCAAGACAGTCACGAGAGAGAATTTATTAACTGTGATAAATACTTGGAACAGATATTTGCCTGCCCACGAATGAAATTCGCCGAGATACCGCAACGATTGAATCCATTATTGCATCCACCCGATCCCATTGTAATAAATCATGTTATAAGTGTAGAAGGTAAGTGAGGTACCATTTTTATCCCTGATAAATATTAACGTTTTAGAAATAATTTCGTGGAGAACAAAGTATATCATGAGCTAAAATTAATTAAGCATATCTGATATAAAAGTTTATATTATTCAGGTACAGAAACGAAGCAGACCGCGTGTTATGACATCGACGTGGAAGTAGATGATACATTGAAGACGCAGATGAACAATTTCTTACTGTCGACTGCGAGCCAGCAGGAAATCCAGAGTTTGGACAACAAGATTCACGAAACCGTCGAGACGATTAATCAATTGAAGACTAATCGCGAGTTCTTCTTGAGTTTTGCTAAGGATCCGCAACAGTTCATCAACAAGTGGATCATCTCTCAGACTAGAGATTTAAAGACCATGACAGACGTTGTCGGCAATCCGGAAGAAGAACGGAGAGCTGAATTTTACTATCAACCTTGGGCACAAGAAGCCGTATGTCGTTATTTTTACACGAAAGTGCAGCAAAAACGAGCGGAATTGGAGCAAGCATTGGGTATCAGGAACTCGTAAAAGTATCAAAACTGTACTTGACCATTTTATCATAAAGCTATGTAAGATATTCGTAAGTGTTCGCCTTTATAATTATTGCAACATGTAACGCTATGGCTTATCTTTCAAAGCATATATTTGTAACATTAATGTAGATTATGCGAAAAGATTGCATTTATTTACGCAAAGCAAATTTTATGCCTGTGTGGAAATAAAAATATAACAAAGAATTTCTTTTTTTCACGTATGTAGTTGTATGACGAATATATCACAATTTCAATCAAATGTTTGTTCCAAAATTCGAACGGCGGACTTTAAATCGAAGAAAGGCTCAATGAAAAATAACCACTTTTCTTTAAAGTACCCTGTACGTTTTTTAATGCATCTTTGTCACGATATTAACGTATCTCGGTACAGTCACAAGGATTTATTTTTGCATTTGTAGCGCATGTAAAATAATTATGTTAGAAGCTCAGTCTTTACGATAATTTATTTTTCCTTACGCAGATACACAGTATCTCTTGTATAAATAAGGATAATTATACATATCATTTACCGTACCGTTGTACACACTTGTTATATCTCTCTAATAGACACGTGAAATCTTTCACTGAGATACTAACATACATCGGCAGCATTCTGAAAAAAGTTAAATTGTTAATTTAATAAAGTAAGATCGAAAAATATTGGCAGATATTCATGATAATTTTTTAGGACTTACAAAAATTCTGTTGTTCTTGTGTGCCATGGTAAAACACCATGTGTGGAACAAGTGTAACCATATATTAAAGCGAGATCGGGATCGGGCATCCCTTTTATTTGTAACTTTTCGGTGATTAATTGGTCCGTAATTTCTTCCGATTCAAGATTCCCCGTAGATACGGCTTTTGCCAATGACTGCGTCAACGTTACTATTTTCCCTTTGCTATCTATATCCGACAGTAATGATACATTTATCTTCGACTTGCTTCCTGTAATTACAACGTGCAATTAATAACAATGATGAGAGATATGCTTAAACGTCTAAATGATTGGTTATTGCAACAACTTCGCCGCCAAATGTTTTTTAGCTGACTTTTCGTTCATATGCAGGTTAAATAATTTTATTTTAAAAAATTTACAAATTAAAAAAAGACAATGAGGTATACTCAATATATAATATTAAATTTATAGTATTGAGTTACATGAAAATATATGACATGTGATATTTATTTGACTGTCATTCTATGACATTCACTGATGACTGATAAGGCATAAATGGAAAGCTCAATGTTGATCGTTATGACGGTGAATATGTTAAAAAAGTACGGAAGTTTGAAATATCACGAGTTACAGAAAAATAATTATTTTATTAAATTAAATTATATTACAACTATTTCGATAATAATCATCTTATCTGCAATGCAATTATATGACATGAGCATTGAGCAGTACTTTTTACATATTGTTTCGTATGCAACTGCACATTCGATTAGGGAATCGTTTTAAGAAATCGATTAGGAAAGCATATTTAACATCGTTCAACAATTATTCGAAGACCTACGATTTTCTTAGAAATAATACAAATAATCGGGAGGAGGGGATATGGAGAGAAAAAAATACGCTACCAATTACTCCATTTTGACTAGGTGCCTTTGCATGTGGATTCCATATAATATGGTCTACTAGATCAGGCCGCTTTCTCGCAAATTCTTCTTTAAGATTGATTTCATTTTTCTTAAAGAAACCTGAAAAAACAATATAAATAGAGAAAACTTAAATTCGCACAACAATCGTTCATATTCCTAAATCGAAAAATATATCTCGTTAAATTATATGTATATATATATTTTTTTCCATTAAATGTTTTTATAAATTTTTGTTCTATTTGCAATTATCTACATTTATACATAATTTGTGTAAACTGTTCCTTATTTTGCTTCATAAAAATATAATTGATGTTTATTTCGCATATAATAACATTATAATCATTACTAATGTAACTAACTTATTATTTAGTTATATAAAGATATTTACTAATACGTCAGAAATAAGCTTAATCCTTTTCTAAAAAGGAGATGTGAAGTTTATTGTTGTCGCTTTTCCGCGATGCCGATTGGTTTTCTTGCTGCGCTTACTTCATTTGCAGCTGTCATTGTATATTTTGACAGTTGTGTATAATAGGGTTAATAGTGAAATGTTAAAGATAAATAGCGCGCGCGTAGCGCGCGTCTGTAGTGTCTAGTATATTAAAATGTATACAATTCATTTTTTTATATCTAACAATTAGGATATATTATATGGTATAAAATTAACAGTATGACTTTGGAAAAAATTTAAAGTTTTACTACAAGGCCAAGATTGCGATAACGATGGTGCGCTGGCAAATTTATTTTTATGTACATTTGAAATAAGGTTCATGCATAAGTAAATTTAATTTTTGCATTCTACATGTGTTATCTAAAACGTCGTACAGAAGCTTAGGTGTTCTATGAAAACGGCTGATGAAAAGGAAAGGATGCTTTCCTTGTTGCATCATTTCCTGATATAATCGTCAATCTCTTTCGCTTAGCCCTAGGTAGCAAGCTGACGACATTTTGAAGTTAGATTGACGTTAAAATGACAAATCACGTAAGCTTACTACCTGAGGGTAAGCGAAAGAGATTGACGATTAAATAAGCAATGAATTAACGAAATGATGCAATAGACAAGCGTATAAAAACAAGGAAAAACTTAATTTCTACAAGACAAAACAACTGCGTTACTCATTAATAAATTCGACAGAACTGAGTTTTTGAAAAACAAAGACGCAACGTCGAACATAAACGCAAAGTGAAATAAGGCATAGCTGATAAGCGTAAAGTTACGATTGAAGCGTTAGAGTCTCCGCACAAGACTTTCGTACTTACTTAACGTAGTGTAACGAAACGTGGATCAACGCACAAGAAACGGTTACGGCGTTATACGTCAATACGTTTCTTATGCGTTGATCTACGTTACATTACCATACGAAAGTTTTGTGCGGAAGCTCTTAAACTGTATCCTACTGCAAGATGCAATATTTCGTAACTAATACAATTCTTCTTTCAACCGATTATAATTGACTTATAACTTTATATCGATATATAGATATTTTTACTAATATTGTTGCTGTATATAATGAAAATATCTTTCGATCAGTATCTTATGGCGGTAATATAGCGTCTGTTTGCTGAACTGACTCCACTAGTTCCGAGTTTATCTTTCAGACTCCTAAGGTCTGTTCTATTTAGCTAAACATCTTGCACAATTCATCTTTCCTCTTTTTTCTTTTCATGTTGGAGAAAAAAAGAGAAAAG